TAGCTGCTGCAGGGCCCGTTCAGAAGGGTGCGGGTACAACAGAAGCTGAAATAGGACTTGATGGAATGAAACTGGCACTGCTCAGCTGGGGATCAAGCTTCGAACTGACATTTGTATTTCGGGAAATACTAACAAAGCTCATAAGGTAAGAAACACAATAAAAGAAATATAATGTATGCTAACAAAACCACAAGCCTTGATAAAGGTCTAAAGTTTGCACTGAAGTAAAAGGACAAGCACACAGACCCCCATGTTCTTACCCCAGTCGCCTGAAGATGTTGCCTGAACTCATCCATCGTTGTGTTTGAGATGCTCATGTCCCTGAACATTCCTTCCAGTTTAGACGTGAACTGACATCCACACTCAGTCTAAAAATACACAAAGTAACTTGTTATGCCAGCACCATGAAAACAGAGCTTACGATATGTGAACTGCAAGGCTAGGAGTTAGTTTATAAACCTCAAAAATGATATTTCTGTACATTTGGTTCTTGGATTCCCATTTGTATTACCTTCAGAACTTAGAAAAGTTTCGTATTTCACACAGGGATCTAACCCTACACCTATCAAAACTGGCTTTCCTTCTCTTTTCTCCATTACTGTATTTTTGATTCCTTTTTAGCTTCCCATCTCATCTTAAAAAAACAATCAGACCAAGGCATACACTTTCATCTGCTTTTTAGCATGATACTGTAAAGAGAAACAAACTTTATTTATACCAGAAAAGAACCACTGTTGTCCTAAGAGTGTGTCATTTTAAAGGCTTACTGCAGATTGCCAAGCGAGATTACTAAACCTTCTGAGAATCGGGGACGTACACATACATAGACATGTGTGCACAAACACATACGTTTCAGTTGCACATACAGGTCTTTATGCCTATTTCCAACGCATACTTTGACATATATGGTAAAGGCAAGCATGTTAGCTTCAGCATCCTAATGACTGTGCAAATCTGTAAGAAAACAGCACAGTTCCGGTCCACTGAATCATCTTGCAAATGTATCCCTTGTGCTTTCTAAATCACCAGGCTAAAAGAGGTAGAGAGGTAATGCAAAGGAATTAATACCGGTAATTTGGAGAAATCTGATGCAAACAGGCTTTGCTCACACAAAGGTCAAAAATGAGGATCAGTAAAGTTTCATTTTAGGATTAAATCACTCTGTATCGGAAGTTCCCTAGCCATTTATCATGCCACTTAGGAAGGAGCTGCATTAGAACTTGCTTCATGACTGTTCATTCACCTTTAGACTTTATACTTTCTTCTCCATCTTTTGGACCATTGAATCAGTAAATTGAAGCAATTAAGGAAAATGTGTTTCCAGACACTGATAGGAAGAT